AGTTTGGGTGGAGGAAGAATGTTAGGGGTTCTTGTCTTACAACAGATGAATAATAAAAAGTTAATATTAATTATGATAAACTTTATTTAATTCCTTGACTTATATTGTTTTGCAGTAAACCTTTCTTTATTTTTTATTTTTTTACCAAAAATCCCCTTCAACTTACCGAGGAGTGTTCTTTTATGCTTACTGTTAAAAGTATCTCTACCAAGTAAAGGGAGATTTTATATAATCCACCAAATTGTGTGAATTTAACTAAATGATTTTTTCTTTTTTATAAATAAAATATATTTGAACTTATATTTTTTTGTTGCTTCTAATGTCATACTTTTTAATTAAAGAAAAGTATCAATAAAATAAAATAAATGTAATATTTATTAGTGCAATTGCTTAAAAGTTCAAATCTTATGTTTACTCATATTATATATGCCATTATTATATTATTTTATTTTATACAATGCGTATATATATATATATATATGTATATCATATAGAGATTTGATTAAACAATTAGATGGACAAAAGTGAATCTTAATTTTCTATTTGCGCTTAGTCGGACATGATATAAAAAACTTAATTGAATGACACAAAATAGTAGACTTTTCTCTCATTTTATTTGGTTATATAGAAAAAAAAAAAAAAAAAGAATAAAAAGAAGAAGAAGAAGAAGAAGATAATAGAGAGGAAATGATATTGCAAGATTTAACTATTCTAAAAATATGCTAAAAAAATACATTTAGTTGCACTCTTAAATATGAATTTTACTTTTTATATTATTTTTTAATTAAAAATATAATGATCCATGTAATAAAAAAATAAGTTCAAATATTAGTATTAAAAAAAAAAATCTTCTAGTTAAATTAACACAATTGGTCTAATTGCAATAAACATTCCCATAACTTTTCGTGGGAATATTTTAGTATAAACAACCCCTGCTCTGTAACTGTTCGTTGAGGGGGATTTTTTTGACAAAAAAGAAAAACAAAAATTTAAAGGGAGATTTACTAAAAGAAAAATGCTAAATATAACAAAAATAACTCGAATTATGTGACAGTTTTGTTGGCAGCCTATTTGACAATTTTTAAAAAATATAAAAGGTATTTTTTGGAGAGCGAATATATGACAGAAAAAAAAAATGGTAACTCATTATAAAATCCATTTTCAAATATAACTCAATAATTTGAATTCAAAATTTTCTCCATTTAAGAACCCTTTCCATTAAATCTCATAATAGAATTTTCAAATTTATTTATTTATTTTTTTACATTGAGGAGCGACCTCATTGACAAGAACCCTCTTTTTTTTTTTTTTTTTACTTGAATTTAATTTCTGTTATATTTGCTTGTGTAATTATTATTTTTTCCCCTCTTTGTTGAAAAAAAAATACAAACTTAAAGCAAAATTTAGAGTAAAACTTTTGATCAATTTAAAAATTAAACGAAAATTTTCTCGGTCAACAATAGAAATTCTATTTTAGCCAAGAAGTTTCGACCATCTAATTTGTGTTGATTACAATATATATATATATATATATATATATAAAAGGTTTAATTATATTTGATATATGAGCAGTTATACTTATACTGAACACTTGTAGTGAATTGCCTAATCAAATAATTTTAATACAACTGAGTGGGGCTCCACTTCCTTATTTATTATATAATTGACCAATTAAAAGTATAATTGATGGAGGAGAAGGATTGCATTTTACTGATAAAGTGGAATAAATTTACCCTATTCCTAAATTGATACTTCGTAATTATTTGAAGATTCAAATATGATATCAAATCCTCTTCCTAGAATTTAGAGTTTTTGTTTCTAAATTTGCAACCATTTTGTTCTCATCCTTCTCAAAGCAGTAAGTACGCAAAATCTTAAAAAATGATTCTTGCATCAAATAGTTGTAATAAATTATTAAATTTAATTTTTTAATTGATCAATTATGCAATAAATAAGAAAATAAAGCCCTACACTATATATTTGATATAAACAACTAATTAAAAATAATTCTAATTCACTGCAAATATTCGAGGTGAATACCCCTACTCAACCTACTTTAAAAGAATTCCTAAAATTTAGGCTTTTTTCTCAATTAGTAACTAATCCATATCATTGCCGCAGGGATTGAAAAGTCATCAACATCAGATTAGCTTAGATTAGATATGTTTAATTCGAAATAAATTAAATTCCTGACATGTAACAAAGCTGTTACTGAAAACACTACAAGTTGCACCGGGGTTTGTTAAATACTATTTACCCATTATTTTTAAAAAATGTTATTACCATTAAATACAAACTCGCAATTCGACAGTGTCATAAATATAAACTCGCAATTCAATATAATAACTAATAAAGTTCTTTTTTTTTTTGGAGAATTGTATTGATGCAACTGAGATTAAAAAAAAGAATAAAACAGTGAGATAAACATATGCTAACTAATAATGACTCATTTTTTGATGCAAGTGAGATTAAAAAAAAAAAAGAAGTAAAAAACAGTAAGATAAACATAAATAGTCATCATAGATGTGTAACTATGATTAGTTAAACTTCCGAAAGTTGTGACTACTGATTAGAAACATGAACTAAATCTAGACATTGCAATTGCTGTGTTCTTTCATTTTTGCCACAATTAAATTATTATTAAGGTCTCCTAATAATGTTTCATGAAATTTTGTCTCACACGTAGTGGAATGTTCCAACTGACTAGGATGAATCTGGCCCTTGCCCAAGTGCTAGAGTTGTTGAAAAACCAGACGCCGGCACCCAGAATTGAATGTTTCTAACAAATACACGATTGCAACTTGTAATCCTCGATACGACAAAGATACCCCTCAATTTATCTACTGTTACGTTTCAGATAGATTTCAATGTCAAGGTCATCTAGGTCCAGATAATACTTAATGACCATTATATATATATATGTATATGTATATGTTCGTGTAAATCGTGATATATATACATGTATATGTATATATTCGTGTAAATCGTGATATATATATAAATGTAATTCGTATTAATATACTCCGTAATGAAATTGTCCAAATCACTAAACGTAGGTCCCACTTTCAATAGATAAAGCCTGTATATATATGCGTGTTTAAATCATGATATTTATATATATATATATATATATGTATATATATACAGATATTTATAATTTGTGTGGGAGATGCTGTTGGTGAATGGATCTCCTCTTCACACTCCAAACTCTTACTATCATTATAAAGCAAATGGCTAAACTACCTCCTACTATTTGCTAATTTGACCGCAAAAAAAACCCTTCTCTTTTTGTTTTGTGCTCTTTTCTCTCTCCTCCTCTTTCTTTGTTCTATGAGAAATCTTTCTAACTCAATGGAGTAACTAAATACGACTAAAATTATATTTCTCATAAAATTCCAATAACAAATCAAAATAAATAATTTAATATCAATATTATTATTATTTTTAATTTGGAAACCAAAAACTTGTAAATTTATAAACTTTCACTATATATGGATTGAATGATTGATGATATCCCATAGTGAATACTGATAGTAATTGATAGTTTCAAATGTGTTATTGATGGATGTAATGTTTCAATCACGAATTGGTTGAAATTTAAATTATATATTTAATTTTCTATTGCTTGTAATAATAATCAGTACCTTTCTTGCAATTTGAGTCTTTGATAGCGGTTAGTATATTTAATTCTTTTATGGATTGGTTAGATTGTTTGATAGAATCCAACGAATAATTGATAAAAAGTCTCTCATCAATCAATTATATTTTGTTATATAAGTAAAAATAGAATAGTGACACGAATATTTGTAATTAATTGTTTAAGTGAATAATTTTTAATTGGCTATTTATATCAAATACAAAAAAGTGGAGAACTTTACTCCTTTATTTGTTACATAATTGACCAATTAAAAGACTATGTCTAGTAATTCACTGCAATTATTAAGTGCAAGAATAATTTTTCCGTAAAAATATATTTATTTTTGTGAGACTTATCATTATTTGTCAATATTTAATCAATCAATAATACTACTCCTTTATTCCTCAAATACTTATCCATATTTCTATTTTGGGACATCATATTTTGTCATACAAGTAAAAAATTTATTTATTTTTATAAGTCTTATCATTATATGTCAACATTTAATTAGTCTCCTCCTTCCATCCTAAAATACTTTTTCATATTTATATTTTGGGACATCCCGAAATATATGTCTAATTCCTAAAATGAATGTATGGAGTACTATTTTATTTTTTATAACATTTCTAAATTACTCTTTTGACATTTACTTGATTAAATAATAATATATGTTCAATTCTAAAAATGAATGTACATACTTTTTATAACATTTCTAAATTACTCTTTTGACATTTACTTTTTTAAATAAGTGCACTAATTTTGAACGTGCTCTTTTATTTTTTATAATAATAATAAATTAAAAAATTCACTCTTATCAATTCAACACAAAAAATTATTAAAAACTTACCATCATTAAAAAAAAAAAAAAATGAAATCACCAAAATGCTACAAAATTTTGGAGAATATCATTGAATTGTTCAAATCCTTTGGGACAAAAAGTGGGTCCCATTTTCAGTAGATAAAGACTACATATTAAACCTATTAGGATAAGTCCACTTGTGCCAAGCGTCAATTGATAATTGGAATAGATTTCATCCAATGGTTCCCCACTAACTCCAAGGATTAGGATAGCCTCGAAGATCTATTGTTAGTTGTTGTTATTCTAATTTCTAATTATTATTATATTGGGAAACAATGAAAAACCTTTCTAGACCAATTATGATTTATTTTGGGACATGTTATCAAGAAGCGATTTTCAAGCTCGCACCATTGGCTATGCTGACATGGAACCAGCTGTAACACGTTTCTAATTGTGTCGATGGTTCGATCGTCCACCTCAGCTTTGTGGGTCCCATCGAAGTCAAATCTTCTACTCCTATAAATACATTTACATATCCGATCCAGTCAGAACATCGTGGAATGCCCAACTAGAATTTGGTAATTGAGTTTAGGACATTATTAGATGATGATGGCCGGAGCAACCGCAAAAGTTCCGATGGGTAGACGGAATGTAGACACTTTCATGATTTTTGAATTTTTGGAGGAAGGGGAAGAGCTGTCCGAAAGTTCGTGCAACTCCGGATATGAATTTAATGGTGACGATTTTGTTGACGAGGATGAAGATGAGAATGGTTGCAACGTTGAAGAAAAGAAGGTTTTTTGGGAATCACAGCACGAGCTTCTACAGGTAAACTTTAATATTTGATAACAATGATTTTGAAATTTGAATTTTTTTTTTTTTATAAAAAATTTCATGTTTGAAACATGTTAATTTTATTAAATTAATAAAATTAGTCATTTTTTTTTCTTTCTTTGCAGACGAATTTACGTAGATCTAGTTTGCTCGAGTCCCATATTAGGCAGGCCACCAAGGCTGCTTTACGGGAGGTAAATACGGTGGGTGTCAGTTGTGTTTGTCGGAAACCGGTGGCTGACGGTTGCCGGAATTGCCTGCTAAGAGAAATCTCCGATCGCCTTCAAATTGCAGGTTACAATTCTGCCATTTGCGAGTCCAAGTGGAGGAGCTCACCGGACATTCCATCAGGTACAACAAGCTTTTAAACAATCATTTTTATCTCATTGAAACCATAATTCAAAATGACAAAAATACCCCTCCTGTACAATTCAATAATTTGAGTACACATGCAAGTGTAATATATATATATATATTATGCGTGACCAAATTTTTTATGATCCTCCAGGGAAACACACATATATGGAAGTCATGGACAAGTCAAATTCCAAGAAACGAGAGGTGAGAGTGGTGATTGAGTTGAATTTTCGAGCCGAGTTTGAAATGGCGAGAGCTAGCGAAGAATATAACCAGTTAATTAGCCGATTACCGGAGGTATACGTGGGTAAAGCTGAAAGACTTGAAAGGGTGATCAATGTGTTGTGTTCAGCAGCTAAAAAATGCATGAAGGAGAAAAAAATGCATATGGCTCCATGGAGGAAGCAAAAATATATGCAAGCAAAATGGCTCGGTACATGTGAGAGAAAAATGGCGCCAATCCAACCGGTGCCACAATTGGAACGACCTCTGAAACAGAAGACATCGATGCTAACCTTCGATTTGCTCGAAAATTTGCCGGGGTTGCACAGTACGGCGATTCAAGTTGTGTGATAGATTAATTGTACAGAGATTAATTGTGAAGAATACTTTAGACAGTCGCGATATCTGTAGCACTGGTCGAGAGTTTTTTTGTTCGGTTACTAATTTGTCCCCAAGAATACTTTAGACAGTCACGATATCTGTAGCACTGTTCCAAAGTTTTGTTTCATTATTAATGTTGTCCTTATGATTAATAATTAATAGTTGTTTATACTAATATTTATACATTTTGAGAGTTCAGCTACTTGTTTAACTGATCTTAACTTATCTTGTTAGTTGAAAAGAAATAGAATATGAGAAACTGAGAAAAGAAATTAGCTATCGATTTCTTTTACCCATAAATTAGGAAAATCCAGAACATTGTTTGGGTATTTTATATTTTAGCTTGAATATTTTAGATTTGTTATTAGTCGACTAGGAAGGGAAAAATAAAACCGTGGAAATAAAAAAGGGAAAATTACCTTATAATTCTACCTTTATACTTTAAAGATAATTAAGTATTATAAAATTTTAATTTGAACAAAAAAATCCTACTTTTAAAACCTTCCTGATTTATCCTTATTGTCCTAGAAGGATAAAAGTAAAAAATTAACATCACTATGAAACCCTATCTAAAACAAAGGATAAATTTGAAAATCGCCAATGCATAAAAAAATATTATTAAGATGCTCAATTATAATCACGTGCTTGTATAGTCTATCATATTATGTATTTCCTACAACTTCCTCAGATAATTCTGATCCAAGAAAATAGTGTGTTATGAGAACAATAATCTACATTTGAGATGTGCTAATCCAACGCTGTGCTGTCTTGTCTCAACCCCACTCGAACTTCTCTCGAAGAGAGTAACCCACTGTCATCATTTCATGATTAATTTATTTTGAAAAAAATATACCTTGAAGTAGTCAAATAGAACGAAAAATTATTTCAAATTAAACTTGTACATTCTTTTGATGTTTAATATATAATTACAAGCGTTGGTTGGGCGGAGTCAAGAATTAAATTTAGGAGCACAGAGTGAAAAAAAAAAAAAAAAAATTCAATAATTACACCAATAAATATAGATTCAATAAATTAAGAGATAAAGAAGAAAAATTACTCAAAGGTCAATTTAAGAATGATAAATAGTTAACAAAAAATTTAGAAAGGAAAGAAAAATGAGAGAATTTTGAAAAAGAAAAAAATTGGAGTTTGATTCAAAAAGGAAAATTTGACTTTTTAAAAAGGACATTAAAGGAATTTAAAGAGAAATTAAAGAGTAAAAAAGATAAGAAATACAAAATTTAAGTGATAATTTTAGAAAATTAAAATTTTAGGGAGGCATTATATGAATTTTTTCATATATACATATAAAAATATATAAATTTATTATATATTTTATAGTAAGCGGGGCTAGGCCAGGAGGCACGGCCCCCTGGGCATGCACGGGCTCCACCCTTGGTAGATTTCATTGGTGACATGACTCACAACTGAGAACAATAATCATGCTCTCCGAGTTATTTCTTCAAATCAAGAAGCTTATAATTCTTGAAATGTAAGCATGGTTCAATTGGAACAATGGCAGCATGTCGATCAGTTAATGCCTCCTCCACCTCCTCATCCCTCGAGTTACAATGCAGCTGGTCAAATTCAACCTCCTCATGTCAATAAACAAAAAAAACTCATTCGTCGTGACAACGACTTGTGCTTGATAACTGCAAAATGATTTGTAAAACCTCAATAAAGAAGGGTCAATCGAGATTCAAGAATTCTGTAGTAGCAAAGAAACTGCTAGTTTCTGTTTAGGGTATTTGGGACAAAAAAATCATCCCAAAAGGTGCCTAATCCGTCCTTAATACCTTTAAAGGACAGCAGATGCAACCGTCCCAGTATGTAGCATCCTAAAAGCCAATTAAGGACGGAACAACTTTTTGTCCCAAATGACTATTTGGAACGAACACCTAACTTCCGTCCCAAATGAGTCATTTGGTTGGTGTTCCATCCCAGACGGAACTTTTTTCTGTCCCAAATACTCATTTGGGACGGATTGATTACTTTCTATTTCTGCTATTTTCATTTACCTGCTCCGTCCATTAAAACTAATAAGAAACTAGATATCATGTAAACACAAATAAAAAAACTAAATTTCATGTCTATATAAATAAAGATGCTAAATTTTATTGGCCATTAATTAAAAAAACAATGTACAAATCATACTTACATCAATTATGCTTAAATCATCACCAAATAACATAGTATCTAGACATCAATGTTTGGAATACATTTATCCAATAATAGAAGAGTAAGCATTGATCTATTGGTGAATGAGAGTGAAATGGTGAGTTCAGAGCAAACTGGCTAAACATTAGTGGCTACAAATTATAGAACAGGCTGCCAAAGGGTCAATAAAGCTACTACTACTGCAAAACAGGGTCGATATGCGCTGAACTATGTGGACATGAATTGAGAGGACATTTTTTGATATTCATGTTAGGAAACGTGCAAGTTTTTAAAACTTTTTGAGGGATTTGCAATCATAAATCTTGATTCATTACATGGAGACAAGTTTTATGCAAAGATAAATAAAATATGATGCATAATTCAATAAACAGATTGAATACTTACATCAAAGGTCTGAGTAAACCTTTTAAACTTTCCTCTAAAGTGAATGTTCTCACTTATTGTAGATCCCTTTAGTAAGATCCTTTCTCCTTATTTTTTAATTATTATCTTCCCTTTAGGAATCACCAATATGCCTTGATGAATGGCCTTGGAATCTAGGCTGGTGGTAGCCTCCTTTAGAAGAGAAAACAAAACCCTAAAATCTAGAGAGAGAAAGTGTATTCCTTTTTCTTGTTCTCAAAGTCACACCTAAAATATACATGAACTCATGTATATATAGGCAAAATAAAAATAAGAATAAAGAAACAATAAATCATTCTCCATCTCTAATTTAACTTTCTCAATCCTAACATGACTCTAATATCAACTTTGGCTATTGGTGAGAATCCTTTTGGGCTTACTATTTTCTTGGCTCCTATAAATTAATAATTGGTCCGGTCCATTAAACCATGGACCCAATTCAATTAATTCATAAATTAATTTCTACTCCACTAAAAGAAATTAATTGCACTCCAATTAAATAGTAAATAACCTCTAAGTCAATGTTGCACTTTGACCCCTCTATGCTTAATTATTTATCAAATAATTAAAGCCATCAATCCGACAACATAATTAATATAATTATTTTGTTACCTTTGATTATTTCCGGCTCGATCACAATAAAATATTTATTTGACAAAAAATAATAATAATATATTAAATAAATATATATAGAAAACATTTGTCTAAAACATACGAAGGCCTTCGAATTTAATTTGTGATCAACCATAATCAAAACAAAATAAATACAAATAGCACTGATGCAAATATTGAGAATATAGACCTCTAATTATTAATTACATAACTACCCAAAGTGTTGATCTAAGGATCCCGAGGTATCCGCCGAACAAATTAAAGTAATTATTAATTATTAAAAAAGTCTATACTTCTCTCATGCTTGAGAGTCAAAAGCCATGACTGTGATAGAGAGCAATTGCATACGACAGCTCTCGCAATATATCTCAATCTATCATGGACTCGGTTTAAGTCTTAACTAATTAAATGTCCATCCATAATTACCGACTTTAAACCATTTATGATTACTAATTTATAACATAATATTAATTGCCATTACATATATATAAATATATTTTGTAATCAAGTGGACACAATCAATTCCATAATGAATCGAACAAATAAGACATTCCATTCACCAATTGTATAATGCTTTAATAATAATATCCAGATAAGAAACCATGACTTTTACAATCCAAAATTAGAATTTGCTATGCTAGGGCACACATATCCTAACAGCTCCCACTTGCACTTATAGCCAATTCGAATCACATCTAACTCCCATGTTCTCCATATGACGATCAAACATCTTGATCGGTAAAGCCTTTGTGAATGGATCAGCAAGGTTATGTTCCGATGCAATCTTGTTCACAAGTATATCTCCTCGCTTTACTATATCACGAACCACATGATGTTTCCTCTGAATGTGTCTTGTTCCTTTATGAAATTTTGGGTCCTTGGTTTGGGCTATAGCTGCACTATTGTCGCAATGAAGCGTCATAGGCCGATCTATGTGCTCCACAACCTCCAGTTCAATTAGAAAGTTTCTCAACCAAACAGCTTCTTTTGCTGCCTCAGAGGCTGCAATGTATTCTGCTTCCATGGTTGAGTCAGCAGTACAACCCTGCTTGACACTCTTCCAACTAACTGCCCCTCCATTGAACTTGAACACATATCTAGATGTAGATCTCCTGGCATCAGGATCTGATTAAAAATCAGAATCCGTATATCCGACTGGAACCAGATCATCACCTCCATAAATGAGCATTAGATTCTTAGTTCTTCTAAGGTATTTTAAGATATTCTTCACAGCTGACCAATGATCAAGTCCAGGATTAGACTGATATCTATTGACAATCCCTACAGAGTAGCAGATGTCCGGTCTGGTACAGACCATGGCATACATGAGACTACCAACTGCCGAAGCGTATGGTACCAGCCTCATTTGCTCAATTTCCTTATCAGTCTTGGGAGACTGATCATTAGAAAGAGCCAACCCATGTCTAAATGGCAAAAACCCTTTCTTAGAGTTTTCCATTCCAAACCTGATCAGAATTTTGTCAATGTAAGACTCTTGAGACAAACCTATTTTCTTTTTAACCCGATCTCGCATAAGCTTGATCCCAAGAATATAACTTGCTTCTCTAAGATCTTTCATCTCAAATTTATTGAACAACCACCTTTTAACTGATGACAAAGCCTTTGCATCATTACCAATGAGTAAGATGTCATCAACATATAAAACGAGAATCATGATGACATTACCCTATTTTTTCTTATAAACGCAAGGTTCAAACATGTTTTGTTCAAAGCCAAATAATTTGACTGCCTGATAAAAACAAATGTTCCATGTGCGTGAAGCTTGCTTAAGTCCATAAATAGACCTATTCAACTTACATACACAGTCCTCACGACCTTTAACCACGAAACCGTCTGGTTGCCTCATGTAGATGTCTTGTTCAAGATGGCCATTTAAAAATGCCGTCTTAACATCCATCTGCCATATCTCATAGTCATAATAAGCACTAATGGCCAAAAGAATGCGAATAGATTTAAGCATTGCAACTGGTGAAAATGTATCCTCATAAT